CCTGGTGCATGGGTGGGGGCCAGCTGGTTTGCCCTGAAGGGTTTCCTGGATCAGGGTGGGGGTCCTGCTTGGGTGCCTGGCCAGCCTGGGTGAGGGGCTGAGGGCCGTTTTCAGGCTGGCCCCACCCCCTTCAGGGTGGGGGGTACTGCTTGCGTGCCTGGCCAGTCTGGGTGAGGGGCTGATGGCTGTTTGCAGGCTGGCCAAGGACCCCAGTGGGGACCCTCACCCATGAGGATGTGGCCATCCTAGGTGAGGGGCTGACGGTTGTTTTCAGGATGGCCATAGCCCCTTCAGGGTGGGGATCCCCCTAGGGTGCCTGGCCAGCCTAGGTAAGGGGCTAATGGCTGTTTGCAGGCTGGCCAAGCCCCTCAGTGAGGACCCTCAACCCATGAGGGTGTAGAAAGCCTGGGTGAGGGGCTGATGGCTGTTTGCAGGCTGACCTCAGCCCCTTCAGGGTGGGGGTCCACATTGGGGTGCCTGGCCAGCCTGGGTGAGGGGTTGATGGCTGTTTGCAGGTTGGCCAGCCTGGGTGAAGGCTGAGGGCCATTTTCAGGCTGGCCACACCCCCTTCAGGGTGGAGGGTCCTCCTGGGTTCCCTTGCCTGTCTGGGTGAGGGAATGATAGCTGTTTGCAGGCTGGACAAGCCCCCCAGCAGGGACCCTCACCCCATGAGGGTATGGCCATCCAGGGTGAGGAGCTGATGGCTGTTTGCAGGGTAGCCACAGCCCGCAGCCACCTAAACTCCCAGTGGAGGCTGGCTGGAAGCAGGTATCTGGGATTTATTTAGCTTCTATAATTGAAACTTTGTTGACTTTTGCAGAGGCCACATCAGGCCCAGGCAGTCAGGAAGCGTGGATGCCTCCAACGCCGGGCAACCAAGCCTCCCACTAACTCCAGCTCCGAAGCTGCTGGCCGCCATCTTGGTTGGGTTAATTTGCATATAGTCGCTCTGACTGACTGGTGGGTGTGGCTTAGGGTGCAGCAAAGGTACCATCAATTAGCATCTTTGTATTTTATTGGTGTAGAAGATAACTGTTACATAGCTATGTCAACACAGTATTGCCAGACACTAATTTTGCCATACTGATGGGTTTAAAATAGCATCTAACTGTTCTTTTGAATTCCATGTCATTTCATATGTTTCTTGCCCATCTAGGTATCTCTTCTCTGAAATTTCTGTGCAGATCGTTTGCACATTTTTCTACTGAGTTGTCTTTTTCTTATTGATTTGTAGTTACCTATAAATAGGATAACTTTTGTAACACTAATCATCACCACAAAATTTATCTTATTTGTTTCATTTTTATTTAAGTTTAGTTCTGATTTTTTTAAAAACAGAAGCAGAGCTATATGAATGAATCTTTTAATTACTGCTAAGTGGTCAGTTGGCATAAGATAAAACACATGATCACAGGAATATTTGAAAATATGAAGGCCAGTAGGGAGAGAAATATGGGGGTGACAAGTGGGAGAACTCTACATGTGAGGGATGTGGGTTCATAAAGAAAGAAGAGAGTCAAAAACCCCAAATATTATTAGTTAGTGAGAGCACAGGAGATAAAAACAGAAAAATTCAGTTGAAGGTCACTTTAAAAGGAGGAAGCACAAAGAAGATTCAGAATAACTAGGAAGTTTGAAGACGAATACTGTACCACAGAAGATGAAAGAGCATTGGTTACTCTGTCACTGATACCATTTCTCTCTGATCTATTTCCTGAAAAGCCACTTTCAGAGGGTAATTCAGAACTGCAAAGAAGAAAAGAAAGGAAAACTATTATTTTATGAATTCTGTCTATTTTTGTTGGTAAATAACTTATTTCCCTAAATTCTTCTTAAACAATAAACATTTTTCATAAAAATGTGCTCTTTCAGGCAGCAATTTGAATTTCTTTAATATCACAGCTGTCTGTACACACTTACGGTACTATCGAGAAGCTGCTCCCACAGTCACTGGACCCAGCCAGGGAAGCGTCAGTGGATCCCGAATCACCTTTCTGGAAGAAAGAGAGCCCCTCAGGGGGTGTAACTACAGCTAAATGCTTCTCCCACAGTGGCTCGGTCTCCGTGTGCTAACTGCCACATCCATTTCTCCACATTTACCAAATCCACAGCCACACACAATTAGGAGATTAATAGATGGGACACAGGTGGGACAGAGAATTGAGGAATCTTTTTGCTATGTGATTGGTTGTCTTGACATCATGCAAGCACAGTCAAACCTCAAAGCAATTTGAGAGAAAATTATAAAGTAGAAGAAAGACATCCAAAGGCAGTACGTACCGTTGAAATACTTATAAATATTTGCTGTAGAGATGCAAGAGAATGAGCCAAACGTTTTGCCATATTTACATTAGTACTTAGAGCATCAGCATATGTTTTCTGTTCAATTTTGCATTTACAGAGACACCTAGGAAAAATGATGGACATTATTTACCGAAATACCAAAAAATAGTAAATCGAACTTATGATTTG